GCCACTAACCTGGTCGGAACGGGGGTGTGCCCGGAATTAAAAAGCGCTTATAAACGATTTCTCAATTCTCTTCAACCTGGTCGGAACTGGAGAGTGCCCACTTGCATGTGCTTTTCTGAGCAACCTGGGGTGCACCGGCAGAGTCAGGATTTAAAAGCGCTTTTAGGCGCTTATGATCGCTTTTCTACCGCTTTTCCTATCGCCCATGGCCTGGTTGGCAGGAATTAGAAAGCGCTTATAAGCGCTTTTTCAATGCTGCCCCTAACCTGGTCGGAACGGGGGAGTGCCTGGAATTAATAAGCGCTTATAAGCGATTTCTCAATTCCCCTTAACCTGGTCGGAACTAGAAATCAGAGTGCCCGCTTATAAGTGCTTTTCTGTGCAACCTGGGGTGCACCGGCAGAGTCAGGATTTAAAAGCGCTTTTAGGCGCTTATGATCGCTTTTCTACCGCTTTTCCCATTACCCATGGCCTGGTTGGCAAGAATTTTAAGCGCTTTTTCAATGCTACCCCTAACCTGGTCGGAACGGGGGAGTGCCTGGAATTAATATGCGCTTATAAGCGATTTCTGAATTCCCCTTAATATATATATATAACCTGGTCGGAACTGGAAATCAGAGTGCCCGCTTATAAGTTCTTTTCTGTGCAACCTGGGGTGCACCGGCAGAGTCAGGATTTAAAAGCGCTTATAGGCGCTTATGATCGCTTTTCTACCCCTTTTCCTATCGCCCATGGCCTGGTTGGCAGGAATTAGAAAGCGCTTATAAGCGCTTTTTCAATGCTGCCACTAACCTGGTCGCAACGGGGGAGTGCCCGGAATTAAAAGGCGCTTATAAGCACTTTTTCAATGCTGCCCCTAACCTGGTCGGAACGGGGGAGTGCCCGGAATTTAAAAGCGCTTATAGTTATAAGCGATTTCTCAATTCCCTTCAACCTGGTCAGAACTGGAGAGTGCCCACTCGTATGTGCTTTTCTGAGCAAACTGGGGTGCACCGGCAGAGTCAGGATTTAAAAGCGCTTATAGGCGCTTATGATCGCTTATCTACCGCTTTTCCCATCACCCATGGGCTGGTTGGCAGGAATTAGAAAGCGCTTATAAGCGCTTTTTTAAAGCTGCCCCTAAGGATTTGAAAAGCGGTTATAAGTTATAAGCGATTACAATCACTTTTTATTTCTGGTTTTTACCGATTTATCTATCATTTATCAACATGGATTTAAACATAGTTGTTTGACTGGCGATCTAGAAGCCAAGCAAGAAGGCTAAGTGCACGGCGCGGCAAAGTTCTCCGACAATAACTGTCAGAAATTGTAAAGCGCTTGCAAGCGTTTATTTATATGTTGTTAATGGTGGTGGTTGTCCTGGTGGCGGTCGATACGCGCTGCGTCATCAGTCATACACACTTCACATTCAGAACTTGCAAAAGAAAAATATAGTATATGAAATTAAATTATTGCGCTGGGCCACGCTCAGTCTGTCAACGAGTATGACAGGCCTGTTTATGTCATTCCAAGGAATCTCTAGTCGGGCTGAGCGAATCACGACGTCTGAAACATGAAAAAAGTGCGGTGCTCATTGAAAGTTAGTGTGTGCGTGGTACCAGCATTCACGTACTTGTTCATAATTAATCGTGGACATAAAAACAAGTGCACGCTGAGTACCAATAGGAAAAAAGTAATGTATATATACGCTAGTAAAGCCGTGCGCGTGCAGGCGTGGTGAGATAGCTTGTAAAATTTGGTTATTTAATAACCAAATTTTACAAGCTATCTCACCAATAATAACTTATTAGATAGTAAAACTGCAACAAATAAACCGCACCAGATTGCGCGTTTGAATCGCTCCTACGAAATCGCTCGCCCAAATTTTAAGAAAATTCTTGTGAAAAGGCCTTTCACCTTTGGGTATGACATTGATCTAAATCGGTGTATTTTTTGGACGCTGATCCCGAATAAACCCGCCATGACGTAGGGTAAAAATATTTCCCTGGAGAGTTACATGGGCAAAAACCGTTTTAGTCACGTGACAGGCTAGTAAAACATGATTTCGATTGTTTAGGGCTCAAGTTAGGGTTTGGGTTAAGGTACGCGGGTTATGGATAGCTTCGGGGTTATGGTTGGGATTAGGGTTTATGTAAAATTGTTTTGTACGGCTGCAAAACCATAAAAACCAAGGTCATGTGAAATTTTTGGGCGAGCGAATTAGCAAGAGCCGGTCGCGGTTTTTATACAAAAATAAGCGTACACATGATATACAATGCAATAAAGCTAAGAGTTTCTGCATGTTCGATTATTTTGCACCTAACTTAACCATGTGCCTTCGTGCTGCCGTTGCTCTATCCAGATAGGTAGTGTGCCAACAACAGTGAGCCGCACGTGCCGACTGTATAGTAGGATAGTTTTTTAGCGCTAATTTCGGCCAGCACAATTTTCTTCAAACAAATAAATATTGAGTATCCTTCCCGACCTCCGATTGCAACAAAAATTGGTGAGCTCACTCTGTACTCATAGACTTACGAGGAAAGTGTCCGAAATAATACGACAAAAATCAACGAATTTGGTCAAATTACGCGACTTTTACATCTACTTTTGCTCCAAAAGCCGCGCACCATCAAATATGGCACCCTTCACCTAACCATGTGCTTTCACGCCACTTCAGGCGCGCTTGTTTCACAAGTACGTCAAGAAGTGAGTGGGCGCGCGCTACTGCAAGCGCAAGGGCTCTGGATAGAGCAAATGGCACCCAGCTAGTGAGGCGAAACTCATTGATCTTTCCAAAAAGGTATGACAAATTTGGTATTGTGAAAATTCTCACAGTCTCTAAAAAACAGTGTTACAAAAAATTTTAAAATCTGAGCAAGTTTGTTTTATCGTCCACCCCTAATCCAGAGCCGTTGAGCTTTGATCTAGCCGCCAACCCTCCATCGATTTTGGCAACCATATATTGGTTCCCAAAATTTCCCGGGCCGCACTTTGCAGTTTCTGCAGTAGGGGTAATTAGGTATAATTTATAAACTACAGCACAGCTGTACTTACAATCACATTCACAAGCATGCAAGCTCCCCCGTTCCGACCAGGTTAGTGGCAGCATTGAAAAAGCGCTTATAAGCGCTTTCTAATTCTTGCCAACCAGGCCATGGGTGATAGGAAAAGCGGTAGAAAAGCGATCATAAGCGCTTTTAAATCCTGACTCTGCCGGTGCACCCCAGGTTGCTCAGAAAAGCACTTATAAGCGGGCACTCTGATTTCCAGTTCCGACCAGGTTAGGGGCAGCATTTAAAAAGCGCTTAAGAGCGCTTTTTAATTCCGGGCACTCCCCCGTTCCGACCAGGTTAGTGGCAGCATTGAAAAAACGCTTATAAGCGCTTTATAATTCTTGCCAACCAGGCCATGGGTGATAGAAAAAGCGGTAGAAAAGCGATCATAAGCGCCTATAAGCGCTTAAATTAAATCCTGACTCTGCCGGTGCACCCCAGGTTGCTCAGAAAAGCACATGCAAGTGGGCACTCTCCAGTTCCGACCAGGTTAAGGGGAATTGCGCTTATAAGCGCTTTTAAATTCCGGGCACCACCCCGTTCCGACCAGGTTAGGGGCGGCATTGAAAAAGCGCTTATAAGCGCTTTTAAATTCCGGGCACTCCCCCGTTCCGACCAGCTAAGGGGCAGCATTGAAAAACGCTTATAAGCGCTTTATAATTCTTGCCAACCCATGCCATCGGTGATAGGAAAAGTGGTAGAAAAGCGATCATAAGCGCCTATAAGCGCTTTTAAATCCTGACTCTGCCGGTGCACCCCAGGTTGCTCAGAAAAGCACATGAAAGTTCCAACCAGGTTAAGGGGAATTGAGAAATCGCTTATAAGCGCGCTTTTAAATTCCGGGCACTACCCCGTTCCGACCAGGCTAGGGGCAGCATCGAAAAAGCGCTTATAAGCGCTTTTTAATTCCTGCTCACCTGGCCATGGATGATAGGAAAAGCGGTAAAAGCGGTGAAATAGCGATGAATTGGCCGTAATAAGCGATTTCTAAAAAAACGCTTATAATCGATTATAAGCGGTTATAAAATGTAATATAGCGTTTTCCTGACTCAATTTTAAAAGCGCTTATAAGCGCTTTATTTGCGCTTTACAAACAGCTAAATTGCACCCCAATTATAAGCGCTTATAATCGCTTATAAATGGTTCAAAAAAGCGCCTACGAATCGCTTATCCGGCCAACCGCTTATCCACCCGTTTTTGGCGCCAATCCTACTGGAAAACCGCTTTCAAATCGCTCAGCGACGCTAGTAAGCGCTTAAAAGCGCTTATAAGCGCTTTTAAATTAAAAAAAGCGCTTTTTTGAATTATGACACCAATTATAGTCGATTATAAGCGATTTTTTTTGAACCGTTTATAATCGTAAAAAAAGCGATTGTAAACGGTTTTTAAAAAAAAAGCGCCGAAAAAGCGCTCAATAAGCGATTATCGGCGCCGATCATAAAATATCGTTTATGGAAACTTGCCAACTAGGCAAGTTTCCATAAACGATATTTTATGATCGGCGCCGATAATCGCTTATTGAGCGCTTTTTCGGCGCTTTTTCTTAAAAAAACCGTTTACAATCGCTTTTTTTACGATTATAAACGGTTAAAAAAAAATCGCTTATAATCGACTATAATTGGTGTCATAATTCAAAAAAGCGCTTGAATGGCTTGAATGGCTTAATAAGTGTGTTTAATTTTGTTGGGTTCATGACCTTCGCAGATGATTTAAATTGATTAGGGGTAAGATTACTGTGAGTGTTGGGAGAACGATAACTTTGAATGTTTGACTTATGAAGTAGTCACGTGATTAAGTAAGTCAAAAGAGCAAAAGGGGCCTTAAAAGACGTGAAAAACCTTAAAAAGGTACTGCGAAGGATCGACATCATCAATCTGCAAATCCTGAAATCTGGTCATTCATGCATTTCCCTGTTCTCTAGTTTATTTTGTATGTTGACTGTTAACAAAATAAAAAATTATACAACACCAAATAACTGCGGTAAATAAAAATAATGAACTAGTAATACTAATAGTATCATCAAAAACATTACTGTCATCTTCAAGAAGGTTCAGTGAACTCACTTTACTCCACACTTTATAAATGTGTGAGTAATGATTCACACAACTTAAAATTAAATTATACCATGTACATAAAATCCATTTCATCGTGTGGTATTAAATCTTCAACTTTTATATGCTAATCTTATCAATATCATTACCGGACCACTTTTAATCGATTTTAATCTTATGGTCAAAAATACATCTAGTAAATCGTATTATAGTATGTTGAAAGTTCCTTCTGCTTTCGTTCCTAATGGAACTACCGTAAGGCCTTTCAGCCTTTTCCCCTGGCCTTTATAATCATCACCATTATATTTATAGATCTCAACCGCCATCATTATTTTTCAAATTTAAAATAAATTTAACAAAAGAAACCTAGTTTGTTAGTATCATTGTTAATGAAGCTTTTTATCTTTTAGGTTCTTTTAAAGTGAGTGTACTGCAGTAAACATGTAACACTAACAGTTATTATGCAACTGCTGTAAAAATGTACGACAAAATGTGTGGAGTAAAAATAAGCGTACACATTAAATTTACTTTTAGTGTTTAAAAGAAATGTAAAACTAAACTTAAATCATGGCCACGTTTCTGTTACACTTCATTCGCCGCTACCATGAATAGCTGTATGGCACGAAAAATAAACATTTCAATATAAAAATCATTCCAGCCTTAATTTAAATTAATCTCCTAATTGAATTAAATGAAATTAAACAATATTAGATATTTTATCAATCTTTTAACGTTTTAAAATGGTGCAGATTATAATTAGATTTTGCTGAGGAAAAATGAGCGCCTTTTAATTATAGTTCATCCCACTTGCTGTGATCCACTGTCATTGAAAAGTAATCAATTTTATCATTGGACTTTGACTTGAGAAATGGCCCTATCGAAATGGTTGATGAAATGAGCCACGTTATTTTGATCAAATGACATGGGAGGTTTGATCTTGACGATATTATTGTGTCGCCCTTCAGTGCTCACGATTATTCGGTTTCGGTACATCTCCTTTTTGACGAACACAGCAGTATTCTCGTCTGGTTCCCTTGACTCACGGCACTTCACGAACTCGATACCCAAAAACAGCCCTATACCTCTGCGGGAAATGATTTTGTTAGGTATTCGGATTCCCACAGCTGAAAGTTTTCCAGATCGCTGAGTTTAGATGTGTGATATGGAAACGACCTTAATTTCGCGGTTTGAGAAAATTTGAACCAAGCTTTATATGATTAAATAGCTGATAGCAGAAAAATTTCCATTTTCCAAAGTTTAACATTTCTGATTTCCACCAGATTGAACTCAACCATCAACTACAGTAAGTAAACAACTTGAAAACTACCGCAGGTCTCAATTTATCCAATTTTAGCTCAATCCACCTTATGGCACCTTATTTGGGCAGACATTACGTGGACGGACATAATTTTGGGGGACATACTTATGAAGCAAAAAGCAAACATTTCTTTGAAAATACATGGTAGCTGGATATGACTTTTATTTTGGGAGGAGATGTCCTCCCAAAAAATAATTGTGCTCACGTAATATTTTCAATCTTATAGTGATAAGATTTAAAATATTGCGTAAGCACTTAACTCTCTAGCGCTCACGTTGACGTAATGTTCGACCAAATAAAGTCCGATAGTCAAATTATGGTGAGTGCTACTACTAGTTATAAAATAGCATAGTTAACTAAACTTTTACTGTCACTGCTGTATTTAAATTTAACTCATATTACGTCAAGTTGGTTTCACTTTGACATATTATACAATTTCTTGGTTAAGTTGGTCCGAGTTCGACAAAATTGCACAGTCCAGTAGTATCCAAGTTAGGATCATACCAATCTTTTTTTTGGATTTTGGAGGTATAGAATCTTTCATACAGCAGCAGATAACTCTAAAGTTAATGTGAGTTTTACCTGACATCCCCGATACAGCTGTGTCGTTCTTTGAGTCGTTCCAGTTCCAGTAGGAACAAGTCTCCAGTAACTTTGGCGTGTTTGACGAGTCCCTCTTTCTTTATAACATCCAGTACTGCCAACCCCACTGCCATCGACACAGGGTTTCCTCCGTACTGAATAGTGAGTCACATGAGATGAGTATATTGGAACTGCATATATATTTTTTTATACATTCATGAGACTTTAAGGTTAATTTTAATTTGATTAACTGTTTTTTACTTAATCAGCTGATTTCTTATAAATGCCTGAAGAAGCCACTTCAATCTGGCAACACATAACTATTTTTTATTATTTGAAAATTCAATTAATCATTATATATATAAATCAAGCGTTACATTTCAGCCATGCAAAATTACAATGACATATTTTGATTACTAAATGATAAATGGTACTGCAATATAAGTTGCTTAATGTTTGGCCGGATGACAACTAACGAGAAAAATAAACTTGATTATATAATAATTAATTCGGCTGAACCAACACATAGCAAGAGCCACATTAACGTTGGGGCCGTCTACCAAATTTGAATGACAAACATTAACAAGAAATCAAACATATCATAAATAATTATAAGGATTTTGTTCATTACAATTCCGTCACAACTGATAAAGAAAAAAGAAAAGGACAAGCAGATAGGAAATTGGACGGACAGAATTGTAACCAACAAAAACAAATTTCTGAGACTCATAAGACTGATGAGCTAATCTGGCCAGACTGTATCGGCAGCCCAGAGGTACTTGATCAGTTTGGCCTTAAAAGTAGAAATCCGCTCTGACTGCCGGATACATACTGGTAGACTATTCCATTTCAGCATAGAGCCGTGAGCCGGCTAGCCGATGGCAATCGGCTGGCTAAGAGAAAAAATCGGCTGGCTAGCCGGCTAAGCCGGCTAAAACTGGGAATGGGATTACCAGATCCTAATATCAGATATTGTACCAAAAATTTTTATTTTGCTAATATTACTATTTTGTATTAAAATTGATTGGCTTATACTTTATGTTTCTTTATACTTTATGTCGATTTTAAGGGCAAAACTTGAAATGGAAGGTAACAAGTGATACAATTTCACAACTTCAATAATAATAAGTTAGTCAATAATAAGTTAGGAAATTCTCACTGGTCAGAGTCAATCTCTAATTTACTTATAAAACTTAACAAAAGATCTCTGTTACGATTAATGAGCATAATGGCTTTTGAATTGTCTGATGAGATCTTTGATATCCTCTTGTTTACAGTCAGCCCTGCTGCTGACCATGTTAACTTTCCACATCAGCAGCGGATGCAGGAACCGAAAATATAGCGCATGCTAATTTTGAAAGAAGGGGCAATGTATCACTACGACATTTCCAAAATCTAAGAGTGTCCATCTTGGACAGAAAGTTTTTAGGGCACTGCAAGGCCTTATATACTTTAATTTCGTCTTGAAGACGATCCGTCTGACGGTTCTGAAATTTATCTCTAAAGTCGATCATGGTATAATTTGTTACATGCCGTCTAGATTCCCGGCCTGAAGTAGAGATAAGTGATAACTGCTGAAAATGTGTTAGCCGATCGGCTAGCCGATGGCAATCGGCTGGCTAAGCCGGCAATTTCAATCGGCTGGCTAAGCCGGCTTAGCCGGCTAGCTCACGCCTCTATTTCAGCATAGATCTATGAAAAAAGCTATTTCGGAAGGCATCCGAGCAGGGCACAGTGGTACTCATGTAAGTTGAAGTATCCGACATATCAATTATTTGAGCATTGTGCCTATACTCTAGTAGCAGGGAATAGTTGAGTGTGCACTTCGATGTACACGATTTCTGACAACACAGGGTTGTTTGTTAGATCATTCTTAACCAAAATCGTTTAGGTACGCAATTTGTGTCGCTAGACATAACCCTACAGGGCAAATTTTCTAAATTACCCTCAGTCGCGTATACGGGATTTTTGTATTTCAGCTCCTAAAGGTCATAGAGACTTGAATTTTAGCTTAAAATTACCGCAATGGCCACATTTATGTACAAGTTATGAAGCAACATAAGGTCTCCAGTGCTTCGTTTTATAGATATTGACAAAAAACTGTTTTTTATCTCAGCGAACCAAAAATGGCACTGAATTTTGATAACTTGAACTAGGAAGGTCGTAGAGACTTGAATTTTAGCTTAAAATGACCGCAAACATCATATTTATATACAACTTATAAAGCAATATAAGCCCTTTAATACTGAGTGGAGTTGGGTTAAAAACATATAAGAGATACGATGATTTAACTTGTAGAAGCTTTCAATAAACATGTGTTAATCGTCGTCAGCTGAATGTGATGTGGTGGACAATGCTTATATGTGATTGAGTGGTGTCAGGGATGGAGGGTGGGGGAGGTGTGGGTGGGAAAGTGAAAAATTACAGTACAATGTCAATAAAAATTTAGTCTTCTGTTGAGGTTGAGAAGGAAATGCCAGATGGTCTGGACTTTAAGGATTTGGCAATTTTAGGAAGAATGGGGTCCCAGAGGGAACTACATTTGGGTGCGCGGTCTGTTCTGTTCATAGCTGGTTGTCGTATTTGTATAGCTGCGTGTTCTGTGAGGTCAAGTTGGGAGCGTGAGGTGAGGGATTTGAGGACTTCGATGTTGTTCCAGGAGATGGTGTGGCCGGTGGTCAGGGCATGATGTGCAGGAGCTGATTTGATTCTGTCTGTGGATTCGTCGATGGCGTTGTTGAGTCTGTAACATCGTTCGTGTTCTTTCATGCGGTGGACCAAGGGTCTGTAGGTCTGTCCGGCGTATTTGGAGGGGCACTGTGAGCAGGAAATTTCGTAGATGGTGTTGGGAGTGAGGTGAGTAGGGGGTGTGGTCTTCGTTTTGGTGAGGAGGTTGCGGAGGGTGGTAGCAGAGGAGTGGGTGACTTTGATGTCGTGTTGTCCGAGTATCTTGGAGATGGGTTTGGATAGGGAGGGATGGAAAGGAAGAGAAACACTAAGGGCATGTTCACGGGTCTGTCGGTTGAATGAGGCTAGGGATTGGTGGCGAGAGGGGTTGGTGAATTTCCGTTGTACTTCGTCCATGATGGTGGTGATGCGGTGAGGAGGGAAGCCGTTCTGGAGGCAAACGTGTCGTACTGTCTGGAGTTCGTCGTCAAGGTGTTGGGGTGAGCAGATGTTGTGGGCTCTTCTGGTCAGTGATCGGATGACTGCGTTCTTAGATGAGTTGGTGGTGCAGGAGGAGTACTTGGTGTAGAGGTTGGTGTGGGTGGGTTTTCTGTAGACTGATGTGGATTTGTCAGGGTGGATGAGAACGTCAAGGAAGGGTATAGTTCCGTCTGTAGAGGGATGTTCTTGGGTAAAGTTGAGGTCTTCAGTAAGGGAGTTAAGGAATGTAAGGAAGGATTCTGCGTGGTTTCTGTCTCTGAAAGATCCAAGGCCGTCGTCAACGAAATGGGAGTAAGTGTTCGGAGGGTCAGGACATGAGGATAAAGCTAAGGTCTCGATTTCAGCAAGGCGGATTTCAGCTAGTTCAACAATGAGGGGGGATCCCATTGTACCACCTTCGTCTTGGGAGTAGAAGGAGCCGTTGAATTCAAGGTATGAGTTGTCAAGGCAAAAGTTGATAAGGGAGCCTATGGTGGTGGTGGTGACATTGGAGGGAAGACGAGAGGGGTTCTGTTCAAAGGAGGAGATGACAGTTTTGAGGGCTAGGCGCATGTCACAGGAGGTGTACAAGGATTGGACGTCTAAGGAGGCGTGGTAGTGGAAGGAGGGATTGAGAGAGGAGTCGAAGCGATGTTTGAAGTCGGAAGAGTCTTTGAGGCGTAAGGGGTTCTGGGCTAGGGGTTTGAGGAAAGATGCGAGGACTTTGTGGAGGGCTTGGAGGGGGGTGTTGTAGAAGCTGACTACGGGACGGATAGGTGCGCCGGGTTTGTGTATCTTAGGTTGTCCGTAAAGTTGAGGCCATCTAGGATGTAGGTTGCGCATCTTGTGGTATAGGTCGGTCGTGATCTTCTTGTCGGTGTGTAGTTTCTTGAGGACTTTCTGTAGTTTAGTGGTAACGGATTGAGTGGGGTCTTTCGTTAAGAGGGTGTAACTACCTGAGGATAAGTGGTCGGTAACTTTGGTTATGTATTGATCGTGAGTCAGTACAACGGTGGCGTTGCCCTTATCAGCAGGAAGAAATTTCAATTCAGATTTCTTAGATTTTAAAGATTTAAGAGCGGTACGTTGTTGTGGAGTCAAATTGTCGGTGGTCATGTCACGTTTATTGTCAAATTTAGATAATACAGAGGTGCCCTTTAATGCTTATTTGTTGAGATATTGACAAAAATCAGTCATTTTGGCTACATGTGTGAGGAAAAATACCAAATTGGGCAACTACTTCGGTCTTTTTTTTTACAAGTTTTGTGCTCAAGTTATTAAAATGTGCTTTGCAGTTGTAGATCGGATGTTTTCTTCCAATATGGGTTTCGGTATAAATCCGGAAGCACCCGGTTCATGGGTGATAGGGGTTAAAAACCCTGAAATGTCAGGCGATGGGCGAGACAATTGTCTGAATTTGGTTATAAAATCACTCTTTGCTAGGGTTTGCTTTTTTCCGCTACATCGATCCGCTTTCTAACTACTGATCATCCCCCTCTACATCATTGATCATTCTCTTTTAGATACATGATTTCTATAAGTTCTTGAAGGTACATCCGGCATGATGTAAAGTCTATATCAAAGCATTTTAATGTGGTCTTAACAAGTTGCAAGATATTTAAGTTCACTAATAAAACAGAGATTGTAGGATATCCTTCTTTTACATATTGAGTAATTTTGGCTACACATGTGAGGAAATATACCAAATTGGTTTACCAAACAAAGATTGTAGGTTATCTATTATTCTTTACGTGATTATTGATGAAACTTCATAGTCAAACCTGTATTATTTTTAATATTTAATATTTATTCACACTTTCCATAAGACTATTATTGGGAGTCATTTTTGTGGTTACAATTCGATTAAATCAGCATTTCCAAGCAAAAAACTGTCCCAAATTTCTCTTCCGAATATGGTCCGCTAGTTCGAAATTGTAGCGCTTATAAACGTTATTGTTAGACATTACATTAGGATAATACTATTGAGACCAGATGTAGTGATCTATTT